TTCGGCGGTGTCCAGTGCCGTCGGAGGGGTTGTAAAAGCACTGCATCAATCACAGAATAATCTTTATATAAGTAGATCTCTCCGGGCTTAAAAGTAGACCAAGTGTCAAAATTATACAAAATCAGAACTTCTCTTCTATTAAATTGTGACGAATTATCAGATCATATCGAAATTCAAAATTTATGTTTCTACTGGTATCCTCAAAAATCAATACCTTGGAACTTTCTGATTGGTTGCTACGGGGAAGCTAGGTTCTTGGCGGCTACACCTATCTCTTAAAGCGTGTATTTCGCATGTACTTCTATGAAGTAATTCAAAACTGATCGCTACTGTTTGTTACCCCTCATCCCATTTAAGAAACAATTAATGGACTGAAGTAGTCTATTCCCAATGGACCAGCTGACCACCTCGACAGTGAGAATATGTGGTAGCCGTGGGGCTAGACTTGGAAAGGCAACATTACAGACACAGTGACTGGACACAGCAGAAAGGCAGCGTCAGGCCGCCAGGACGGCTGAAGCCACAGCATGGAAACAAATCATTCCTGATATAGCAGTTTTTATTGTTCTAATTCTTTCAGTTTACATTTATCAATTGTTCCTCAACTTTAACCTTCCAAATCTTCAGTTATATGCTTGCATTTATTTACTCTCCACCAAGGAAATCTGTGCCATTGGCAGGATTAAACCACAAAATTTGCTAATAAATAACAACTAATAAAACTAACAAATAACAGAAACCATCAACATACATTTCACTTCATATGATTTACATTTTTATCACTAGAACACTTAAGAGAGGAATGGTGCAGAAGAGGAAGAGTATTTCGAAAGATGCGGTGATGATTAGACAGAATTAGGCCTTCAACAGGTATCATCAGCATTTAATTTATTCAGTCTTATAAAGGAACTGCCAAAGAGCTGATGAGTAACAGGCGGAACAGACCTGAGCACGGTCGTCATCTTGTATGTCAAAAGCATTTCTAAGAAACTTTACATCAGACAGCGATACAATATCAAGAATGTTCAGAAAGTGGCAAAGCACATTAACAAGAACTAGACCACGTTGGGTAATCCAGGATACAAAGCAATTAATTAATCTACAGTATTCGTCATGAATGTAGTACATGTGGTATGTGTTATATCAGAGAAAAGCAAAACACTTGGCATACAAAAACACATGAATAACTCAAAAATTATAAGGAAGTGTCTCACATTGCAAGCATCATTTTATGTCACTGATAAATATAGTTGTTTGCTTGGAATATCTTACAGGTGGGTTGAGTGCCCATCCATACATCCATGCGTTATCTCCCACAGACTGTCATCTGCAGTTTCTTAATCCAGGCACTTCCATGTCACAGCTGCTCTACTAGGGAGCCCAAGAAATAGGGTCCATCGTTTTTTCTTTTTCCTGAAGATGAAAGTAGAATCCAGCTTCCAAAATATTGATTTTATTTATATTTTAGACATGTACAAAGTCCAAGAAGAAAATTCTACTGAAATATCATAGTTTAGATACGTTGATAATATATACACTCATTTAGTGGTCGCAATTATGGAAGGAAACAGGGTAATTAGAAGAGTGATGGAATGGAGACCGATGGGAAGAAGGATGAGAGGGAGACCACAGAAACGATGGACAGATGATGTGGAGGAGGATGTGAGGATGATGGGAGTGAGGGGATGGAGAAGAATTGTGAATGATAGGACAGAATGGAAAAAACTCGTCGAACAAGCTAAGACCCACAGAGGGTTATAACGCTACAAGAAGAAGAAGATATAGTGGTCGCAATAGTTTTTGGCAGGTGGAATATACGAGGGGAAGGCTAGGAGCGAGTCACTTGTATGATAGTATAATGTTTCGTCTGCCTCCAGGAAGGACGAGGAGCTTATCGGACTGAACACCCAAACAAAACAAATACACTGACCTTGCCACCTCAGGTACACAGAGTAGGTCCGTCCCCCCGCATCTCCACTGGCCAAAAACTACTGCACCTGGCACACACATGCATTAATATGACATAAGCCTATAGATGACAAGCAATGAGTCATTCACAAAATGTTTCCAATTAAATGTTTTTAATGTCCAAAATGCAAAATCAACAGGTGTTTTTTGTTGCAGCCATATCATTATGCGAAATCATCAATGAAAAAGAGCCCCAGCTGAGGAGGTGGTGTGAAGGGATGGGAAGTGTTAAGACATGAAGAAGGATCTTCAGAGAAAACATGCAAGATGGGGCACTTTTCACTAGAACCATACATGCCTTAAGAGAAAGGTGTGTAAACAATGGAAGAAAACAACATTCAACCACTTGGATAAATTTAGTAAATAGTTGTGCGGTAATTCTACTTCTCGACTGCCATGTGTCCAGTTCCATTTCTGCGTGCAACTTTCTATGCATGGGTGAAATACAGTTTTTATTCAAACTCTGCAGTTTAATATGAGTATAAAACTCAGACTTCAGATCCAAGATCAACTGATGAATGCAATGGCACAAGTCACTAGAGGTAGTTCTGTAAGGGAAGCTGCTAAGAACTTAAATTTATTTTGGAATGGATAAAGCATTAATGACAGGCTAATTATCAAAGTCAAATTCAACAAGAAAGTTTGCCAACAAACAGCGACACCTACCAATTTATCTCCACATTCCAAGTCCCATTCAGCCTCTATATCAGGGGTGGCCAACCCGCGGGCCGAATGTGGCCCGCCTTGAACATTTTTCCGGCCCGCGAGATTCATCACACTTTTACAAAATGTACGCTTAGTATCATTATTATTATATTATCTATGTTTACATGTAAGAATAATAGTAAACACAATAATAATAACTCATTATGTTTCAATTTTTCACTCCAAAAAAATGTCTATAGTGTATCTAAATCTAATATGGGGATATATAATTTTATATGTGGCCCGCGGAGTTATGATGCATTTCCAAAGTGGCCCGAAAGATCATTTGGGTTGGCCACCCCTGCTCTATATCATTCCTGACAAATCATTTGTACTATCTACTTTAACCCAGGAAAATAATGTAAATGAAAAAACAAGATTATCCAGCACATCACCTTTCTAAAGAAATCTTCAAGACACACCTCCATCGCAAGACTGTCCTTTATCTTCCAATGAATCATATGAAGATGATGATGCCAGTAAGGATGAGAACAAATGTTTTACACAGCCTCTTCTTCTTGTTTCTTGGCTCTAAAACCCAGTTGTGGGTTTTCGCCACCTCATTTTTTGGAGGTTTCTTAGTCTTGAAGTGTGCATTTATGAGTAGTGAGTGACCAGCCCACTGACTCTGCACAATTTCTATTCAATCCTGATGTGACTGCCAGAGCCATCTAGCAGTTAATCAGGAGACTTGGGTGAGAAATGGCCACTGAATTTTGCTTACGAAACATCTCGTATCATGCTCATAAGGTTCTTTTACATGCCGTAAATCTACGACATGGAACTGCCGGCTTTACTTCCCCTCCGATAGAAGTTGTGCTACGGATTTATATCACCCTTAAAAATCAATCGATTAAACCCACGAACCTTAGGTCCGGTGGTGAGCACACTAACCACTAGTCCACTGAAGGCAACCTACACAGCCTCTTAGTATACCAAAACCAGACAAGAAAAATAACACAAATTCAAGGAAAGAGCATTAATTATCAAGCTCAAAATTTTGTTTCTCATTTTGGTAATAATAAATGGAAAACAGAGACAAAAGAAGAAGCAAGACGTGGACAAGAAAATGTGAAGGGCACACAACAGAAAACAGCAGGCAGAGAAGCAAAAGCATGTCGAGCAACGTGAGACAGGCTATGTACTAGCTTAGAAAAGAAGAATCAACAACAAGAAAGCCGATAAAGTGTGCACCATCAGAAAATCCCCAATTTTGTCTCCTTGGAATGTTAGGGATTAGACTAAAACGCTACTAATTTCTTAACTCAACATCACATAAAATTCAAATTTGAATCTGTTACTCTTTCATTTTATTTTTTAAAGTGCCTTTCATTTTAATCTTATACCTACAAATATACTTTGTAGAAAATGCATGTTCCTAAATTTTTTCTTGCCGTTCTTTAATAATTCTACAGGTGGGCAACCTTTGGACACTTGGGTCACCAAGACGGCCTGCAAGTACAAATTTCAATTCGGTTTGTGGCTCCCAAACCATGCATTTAAACAGTTTCTGTGCATCCCTTTAATTTCCCTTGCCTGTGTGTCATTTGTGCAAAATTTTAGAATTCTAGTCATAACACACCAGATTATAAAAATTTCCAAATCCTTAAGAAGGCCACCGTTGATGCAAGTATCTTAAGTTTCACACCCTAGTACTGGTAATTTGCTAAGTATTTTTAATTTGGTGGACCTGTGCTCACTGAAGGCTGTTGTTAACAGGGAGGAGTGTCGGGCATATACCAGCTAACCACTGATCACTGCCTTTGCAGAACAGGTGAAGTTATACAAGACTACAGCAGAATGATGAATCTGATATTGGAGTAGACTTTCACCTGTCTATTACACAATTTCTCTCACTGCTAATTCTATATACCAGATGGATGTCTATCCAACAGTAACACAAAACCATAGCTTATATATGAAACAATAAAATAGCTTCCACATTTATGTACCTCATATTAAGGAAATACCCATAATGCGAAATGACAAAATAATAAAATTGCAGCTGTCTACTTAAAAAAAAGAATGTACAATTATTTAATTAAAGTAAGGTGCAGTGAAGTCTTCTAATATATAATCAAGAGTTAAAGAATAATAACTTTTTGTATAAACACATTAATATCTTACTAGATATTGAATTACTCTACAGGATATACAAAACATGTAACCAAACTTTTATAAGAAAGAATACAACATAATTAATTCAGGTACAAAAATTATTCTGTACCTAAAAGAAACTTCTCATATAAAGTAATTGTCTTATACTGTCAGGCCTTGATTCAAGACAGTACAATAACACTTCACTTTCCACGAGCGTTACTCAAACTTTACATGTTTTGACCCCCCTTGACAATAACCACTTGAAATCTCTTGGCACCATCCGTATATGGTGAAGTACATAAATGTTTACAATTGAGCTATCCCACAGTTTTCATGATCTTTCTTAGTACTTTCAAGAAGCCCATAATCATCATTAAAATATCTAACTACATAAGTTGTATCTATTAAATATATACCTATCAAGTACCTAGGCTGCTTCAAAGTTTAAATGTGGGAAAATCGCATCATTCAACAAACAGAAGAAAGGTATGTCACCAAGATCATTATCATCATCCATCCCAGTATAAGACTTAGTTGTCCTGTTAGAGTTATACATGACAAAATCTTTCCAAAACATATTCTACTTCTTCTGGGTTGACATTTTATGATCTTCTTAAGATCACCAAAAACTCATTCTTCCAACATGTTGTTTCTAATTTTATTAATTCCTTTTGTTGTACAAACAATTGTCATTGCTTCTTCATAAATTTTATCTCATGAAATTCTTTTCACCTCTCATCAGTTCTACTTCACTGCTGTATCACTGTTCAACCAGCAACAGCTTTATGAATTTAAATCCGTGTGCTTCTAAGAATAATGATACCCACATTGAGAAAAAGTATCTTGATTGAAAGACTGCAGACTACAGGCCACAAAATTTTTTACACTCAGTCTTTCTTATTTTAGAACATTCATCATCTAAATAGGAATACAAGAACAGAAGGAGTAAGCAGGCCAATTTGGGCTATGGTACAATTAAACATACGCAATTTCTGCCAAGATTGATTCAGTATGAACAGACATACGTGTTCATACACCTATAACAGAAGGTTATACAATACAAAGTATTGGCCTCATGCTTCCAGGGGTATTAGATTGGATATTACAACACTGGCCATCTTCATATATATACCTTTGTACACATGCTTTAAAAATATTTTTAAGAACAGTTGTATCTTGAGTTAAACTATAATGTAAGCAACTTCCAGTATTAATAAACTTAAAACATAAAAAGTTAATATTACTACCAGCACGAAAATTAAAATTTCTTTTCCATCAAACTTTATACTTCTGATAAAATAAAACGGTTGTAAAATGATAAAATCAACAGACTTTGGTCCCGCCAAATAGCTGCCTGATGAACGGCAAGAATAGTAATTTTTGCCAACAGTAGTTATCCGTAGTAGGACTTGAGGTTCTCATGGCGGAGAGTCTGAAGATGGCCATCTTCTTCGTTATTGTGCCATGTAATCTGGTAGATGTAGAAGGTAATCTTCTACCAGACTACATGGCACAACAACCCAGAAGAAGTTTAAGGCGTGACTACTTGCATGTGTGGGTATGCAGTCCCACACAACATGAAGAAATAAAGTGCAACCACTGTTAAGTGTTGCGCTACTATATGTAAAATCTCCACGATCTCAGTGACACAAAACAAAGCCCTTATCAGATATGACAATCCATAATCATTCTGCACTCAACTGTTGGATAAAACCAAGACCATTTCTGCAGTTGAATTACTACAAAACTCATGGACGAAACAGTACCTACTGGAGTCCTCATTGACTCATGATGTGTTTTGTACAGAACGCTTAAAATTAACTAATGGGAGGTATTAATAAATTCATAAAAAGTGTGGCAAACATGATAAAATGGTTTGCATAATCCCATGGCCAACATATGACAGAGAAGTGATTAATAAATAATGGTTTCACTTCTTATGAGTGTGCACCAAGGTGATATATGTGAGCTCATCTACCTCCAGTCACATGGTGAGTGTGAGGTGAGTGCCCTCCTTTTTGTTCACATCGGAATCATCATTCAGAGAAACAAAGAATAACTTCAAATAATGATTCAAACTATAAAATTGGTGATGTAAAAATAAAAATTCTGTGGCGGCAATAAAACTGAAAGACTGTAACAATAAGCAAATTTAATCTATGAGATTATGTTTAAATTTTACAGAGGTTCTAATGATTGATACAGTCAACCTCCAATAGCAGGTAACTATATTGAAAGCTTTCTTTCTTCTGTCTAGCAGAATGAAGCCACTTCCTGCATTCTCTTTGTACAAGAAATAATTTAAGGCTGCACAAAGATGGGAACTGAGTGATAACTTCACTATTCGCTCGGTGCGTTGCAGGTGACAAACTGAGGGCTGAGTGTATTCCCAACAGAAAACTACATCAAACACTCTAGGGTCACAAACTAACACATCTCACTAGGCTTTGTTACTTGCTTAAATAATGTGCATTTTATCTAAAATGTATTCATGTTTCACTAGTTGTCTATAGATCTGCTTTCTATATAATGTAGTATACACATACATAATTTAATTCACAATGTTATGATACAATTCACTTTCTGTAATCCATGGTTTGAGTTAAATAAAAAGGTAGGAAAACAACAACCATTAAAATGCAGTACAGTAATGTATAACTACGATGTTTGGTAAACACCATTTACTTCCATGTGTTGGTGTCAATGTCACATTACAAGACAGAAAAAAGTCTTACATTGACAAAGTGAAGTATTACTGAATACATAAGTAGAAGTGCCTTTAACTTTGTTTCAATTTACTATGACCAAGAAAACCATGACTTAGACTTTGGTGTACATGGAGTGTTAGGAGTTGTCGGTGTGTGTGCCGTTGGTGTTGATGATGTGGACGCAGGTTTGATGGTATCACTTCCAGAATGAACAGCATTCTCATCCTTCAATGCGGTCACGTCAGGGTCACCATTCCCAACCACCTTCGTGTTGGTTTCATGTTGCATCTGTTTTTCGTAAATCCTGACATCTTCCAGTGTCATACCATACCACTCATCTATCCAAGCAAATGCCTGTCTGTGCCCAAGAAGCAAGATTTCTCGGATACTCTGAAATAACAATGTTAAATTTCTTACCTTCTGCAGTCTAGTGGCTCTCCTGGAAGTAACACATCAATGTCCTCCTTTAATGCAGTTTATGGGGTCCATACCATAAAATAATACAAATGAAGGAAGTTGGATCAGTAGTAATAACAGTAAATGATTCCCTGATATTCAAAGAATTTCCTAACAGAAGAACTATACATTCAGCATTACAAACATTAAAGGAGAAGACATATAAAAACATACAAACAACATGAAATAATGGCTGTACACTGCACTCCACAACCGTAAATATGTGCTTTCATTTAAACTAAAGATTGATTCAAAGAAATTTCAAACTACATATTGGAACTTGCCGACTATGGAATGATAAATCATGACACATTTAAAATTATGTTTAAAACTTGAAAAATCAGCACAATATTTTCAAACAACCCAATCCAACTTAACTCAGACTTGGAAACTGTTTCATTATCATGAATGTATTCCACCTGAGTCGCCTCTCAATACAGATACATTGCAAACACTCATGAAACATTCACACTAGTTACTAGAGATGTTATACCCTCTGGATCAGATCTTCAGCCTTGGTCTGAAGGCCCCACACTTCAAATGAGACTTGAACCATCTTATAGGAGCACATGATGGGAGTCACAGCCTCTCTCCACCCCTCAACCAAGGGACCCCTCCCTGTCTTCTTAGACTGGAAGTACCTCACATCCTACAAGCAGAGTGATATGCCACTAGAATTCCCCAATGTTTAATAATTAATAAAATTACCTGACAGCTGGGTTTTATTCCAGAATTTATATCCACATTCATCAACAGCCAAAAACAAACCCAGAACATCTTAAATGTATCAACTGTGGTATACTGGGGTGTGACACCATGCAGGTGGTTATGAAGATTCCAGAGGAACATACTGCCTATTTCTTCACTGTTGGAGTCAAAAATGGGATGAGTAATTTATACAGGATGTACAGAGACGTTCCTGTGAGCTCCTGTAGCTCAGTCAGTATAGTAACTGGCTACAGGTTGGGCAATTGGGATTCGATCCCTGACAGAGGCAGAGGATATTCTTCTAGCCTTTGCATCCATGTTAAATATAAACGTTTTTTGAGAATGGGCTACTGACATTATGGGACATTTTTGGGGGTATCTACTATCTAGGTATAAAAATTATATGATTTCTCAGAGGCGTACAGACTCCATCCTCAGAGAAGAGAACAAGATACCTACCCCATGGGACCAGTTATATCTAGCTATACCTTACCACTACGCTTCATGGCAAACAGTACCCTTATCTAAAAGGTCCTACACAGTACATATTCTTCGCTTCTACCCAAGATGCAGCCAAAACCAGCTTCTGAATCACTGTGTGTATTTTTTATTTTAACAATGGAAAATGTCCAAGGTACAGATAAATAGTTGAGAAAACGGGACACTTCATGCTCTCCAACTTTATGTTTAAATTTCTGGTGGTAGCCTCCTATCCAATGGGTACCGGTGTAATTTCCCGAGGGAAAGCACGGCCAGGGCGTGATGCTGACCACTCACCCCCAACTAGTGCTGAGGTCAAGGAGTGGGAGCTATACTTCCACTCGCCCCAAATGACCTACATGACGTGTATCAGGACAGCTTTACTTTACTTTAGTAATGAACTCAGAAAATGTGTTTTACAAATAAATTTTGCATACTTTGAAAGCTGCTGTATGAATCATATAAAATTTGTACGAGTCAATCTGCTTCATTTTTAACATTGTAACACTATTCAAGATTTTTAATTTTCAGCAGCAACTTTCCCACATACAGATGAAAGTCTTACAAAATTCATGTCTCTGAATGGGCACAGGAATTAAAATAAATTTTAAGCAAGCAGCCAAAGAATTATAAACACCACGCAGACAACAAAGAATGATATGTCTAAATTTCATGCCTATACTCATCTTAAACAGAGTTATTTACATTTTCATGGGTTAAAAAATATCACAATCACACTATACCTACAAATGAAATTATAATTAGATGTTTGACACAACATTCAGAATCCCTACCTCCTCTTCCTTGTAGTGTTTTGGATTCACTTCATCGTACGCAATGTCAACAAATTCTATGAGTCTTTCATTTAGGGAGACAGGATCCAGATTAAGACACTGAAAAAGACAACATAATTTCAGAGACCAACACAATAAGAAAAAATTCAAATTGAACTAAACAAACTGTGTGTCTATCAGTCTGTCAACATGATTCAACTCAAGAACCACTGAATGGATTTGGATGAAATTTGGTATGGATTTCATGCCACCAAAGATGACTCTAAGATCACACTTTGAAATCACCTGCACACAGTAATACCAGCTTGGCAAAATTGTGAGGTGAAATGCAGACCCGCCTGTGGAGGTTAGATCAAAAACAGTCTAATGTCATTGAAGGAGGTGAGAAGAAAATTATTCTGGCTGACATTGGTCTAAGAACAGCCTAAGGTACAACAATGAACCAGGATCAGACTGGTGCAAGAATAATATATATGATGTAGCATGAAGAACATCTTTGGAATTTTGGTGTACTCCAAAGAGAGCAACTTAGCATTCTTGTTTTGGATACAAGACAGAAGTGGAGCAAATTGTAATCCAATTTATTAATTTACAAACTATTATTTTTGTAGTCATGGGATCAAAATCCACTGAAGCAGATTTTTTTATTCAATGCAGACACTACACTACTTTATATTATACAAAAAGATGTGATTTTTAAAAATCTATTACCCTACAACAAAGAATGGCTCCACTATACGTGGCACTAGTGTCAATTCTTCCTCACAAGTTTCTTTGGCCACCATATGATATTTCTGATTGTAAGAAATTAAGAAGTACAATTTTAGGGTAGACCACAAAGGCACAATGTCCACAACAAACTTCATCCAAATCCATCTAGCAGTTTATGAGTGGAATCATACAGACAGACATGATCAACCCTACATGCATTAATTTCATGCACATCGTGCAAAGAATACATAACATTTTTTCTATAAAAATGAAGGCTACATACAAGACTTAACCGAAACTGTATAACTTACATTTTCTGTGCTTCCATTGTTATTTTCATATTTTGTCTTTATCGATATGCTGAACTTGGGTATAAACGAGCACTGTAACAAATGTCAAATTTACGCAAGACTCAGACTGATTTCATTCAACGCAGAAGACAGTAATTTATTATCCAGTCTTATTCATAACAGGTATACTTACGGTGTATTCTGTTTCAACCCACGAACGGAATGAACATGAAACAAAGGAGCAGAAAACTGTATATCCACTTTCTGCACATTTAAAACAGAAACACAATTCAATAATAAGAAGAGCGGGCCCTCGATATCCATCAGCTACCAAACCTGTCACTTATTATTTCTGGTTTTCATAACTTAACACCATTATTTATGCATAAATCATTCATGTTTGTATCTGGTATTTGAAAACAAATTAAAATTATTGCTGATTTTGAAGCTGGCAGACAAGTACTCAGTATTGAATGATAAACAAAAACATGAAGGTGTTGCAAAACTGGCGGTGCCTGGCAGAATTAAATGTTTGAGAACCAGAGAAAATGTCTGATAACACGAATTTCACCTTAATACAGCAGAAGGCCAAAAGGACTTTTGACAATACTGATGTTGAAAAATCAGTTTATTGCTCAAGTTTCTAATGACTTCCCTGGAAAGAATTACACTCATGACAAGCAAGTGCATTGCTCTGTATCCATTATTACATTATTCATCACACTTTTTGAGGAACCAATCAACAACAGATATCAAAGGCCCATTGCACTTACCAACTGGATGAATAACCATGTAACATGGCCATTGCATTGTAAGTTCCTTTATTAAACTGCCTAAAAGCACCACAATATTCAGATCCAAGAGAGTAAATTAACAGGATATGAGAGAAGCCAAACCAAGTGTTCATAAGTCTATCAGGTACCATTACAATGATTAAACAAAACAAAAAAAAATTGGACCAGGCCTGTAGAGTGCTTCAGGAGAAACACAAGATACATACAAAGCCACTTTCAACAATCTCATGAAAATAAGTTATGCTGAAATAAACCACTGCAAAAGTCAGAATGTAAGGGTGTGAACTGGACTGAATTAACAACAAACCAATGGCCATTTTCTGCTACACAATGGTGGACCTTTGGATTCCATAATAATATGGACTATCTTGACGAGCTCAATGGCCATCTGCTGCTCTCAGGAGAACCCGTACCACTGACTTAAGTTATTTCAAGAGGGACAGTAACATTCCCGCTGTGTAATCAATGCCATTTCCACCTCAGTTCATCGCTCTTAGACCAAATATTTTGTTTCCAGGTTCCAGGCTTTATTTAAGGATAAGTTTCACAACTATTTAAACAGCAGCATAGTTCTGTATTCAAACTAATGTGTGTGGTCTGTCCTCTAAATCCCTCATCCAGGAAGACAGAAAGCGCACATGGTACTTGAGTTTCTCACGAAAATATCGTCAATAAAAATCTCAGTTTCAATTCCATGGAAAATATTTCTACAGGAGCTTTATGGACTTTAAATGCTACATGAAGTTGGCAGACAGTAAACAAAAGTATCGAAAAGGTACTGAGGCCGCAGAAATCAATTTCAACTCAAAATTCAGACCCTGTTCCTATCACACAGAACCATGCAAATGTTAAGTGATATACATTTGGCAATCACCAGCATTTGCTTTTAATACTATATTGTAACGGAACAGTAATTGAATAAAATTTACTTTATCCTTAATTTTATCACCACATTGCTCTGGTGGAAAATTCAGAGAAACTCACAAGTTTCTTTATACCAATGCTATAACCCAAAAAGTTGATAAGTTATTCAGAATTGCCATGAAAATCTCAAAATAATATATTTTTTATCTCTTTGAGAAAGGTAGGATACAGATGACCACACGTTTCATTTGTTTGAAAAATAAACTAAAGAAAGTACTGGAACTAACATAAAAACTAGTTTAGTTCCTGTTCAACTCAACAGCAGTTAAGCAGTTCATGGTTCAGTTCAAGTTCCTTCAACAACAAACACCTATCAGTGTGTGTGTGTCTAGAATACTGCCGCCTAGTGTCATACCTACGCACCTGTGATAGTGAATGGGTAATAGTTCCATGCCTTTTCTGTCACATAAAATAGTTTCGGTATGAATGACTGGATCCAGTATGGAAGTCGACTGAAAAAACACAATGTTCAATTGAGGTACAAACATTCACATGTGCAATATTACTGTATTGTCCCTCTGCATGTGAACAGTGATTAGCAGCCAGTTCAAAATGCAAGCGCAAACTTTCATAAAACAAAGAATTACAAACAAGTGAAGCTGTTACAATTCTAAACTGTTACCTGTGAACTTTTGTTCAGATGTTGCTTTTCAGTTACTCAACAGAGGGCAAGCAAGCTTATACAAAGATTCTTCACATACCATGCTATTGAGGCATTACACAACTTACAACGATAGAAACCTAAGTTACAGGCATTTAAAAAAAGATATTTCTAATATTTGCCATAGTGAATCTAAAAATTAGTTTCAGACACATCCCATCATCTCTTTATCATTTAACAGAACTCATTGCTATTTGCCATACACTAAAAATAGCCTCACCCCTCACCACTTTTATTAATACATTACATTTCACATAATTCTCTCATTCTGGAATTACATTTGCACCAGTTATAGAAGAATAAATCTGCTAGAACATTGGTAGTACAAAATTAATGGGTTGGTACACACACATTCAAATTTTATTTATGGGGTGATCTGAAAAACAAAGTCTAGTGAAGAAAACCCTGGGCAGAAGAGGACTTAAAGCAAAACTAAAAGATAAACTTTGTAAGTTAATCAGGAAAAACT